AAAGAAGACATCCCGGTTCAGAGGGCGTACTCATCAGTGCCAAAACCCTTGTTTAATGAGGTGAAGAGCTACATACATGATCTCCTAGCAAAAGGATGGATCCTCAAATCAAAGTCACCATATGCCGCTCCAGTAGTCTGTGTCTGCAAGAAGGATGCCAAGCTGAGGCTCTGTGTTGATCACCGTCTCCTGAACAGGAAAACCATCCCTGACCGTCACCCATTGCCTAGGATACAGGATCTGATTGACACCCTTGGGTGATACTCCTGGTTCAGCATTCTCGACCAAGGCAAAGCGTACTACCAGGGGTACATCGCAGAGGGATCCAGACACATGACAGCATTCATGACAACCTGGGGGCTGTATGAGTGGGTCCGGATCCCCTTTGGGTTGTCCAATGCGCCTGCTGCCTTCCAACGCAGTATGGAAGAAATGCTTGACTCGCTCAGGGATGAGTGCTGTATCCCATACTTAGATGACGTCTTGTGCTATGTAAGGTCCTTTGAAGAGCATGTTGAGAACATCTATAGAGTGTTGAGGGCCCTCCAGTATCATGGTGTAAAGCTGAAACCTGGAAAGTGTGAAATGTTCCAGAGTGAGGTCAGGTACGTCGGACGGCTGGTGTCAGCGGAAGGAGTGCGGATAGATCCTAAGGACCTGGAGGACAATCAGGACTCCCCAGACAGTAAGTGATGTGAGGAGGCTACTTGGGTTCCTCAGTTACTACCGTGCCTTCATTCAAGACTTTTCCAGGAGAGCAAAACCCTTGTACGAACTGCTGCAGATGAAGCCTGGAACAACATGGGATACTCACAGCAGGAAGAAAGCTAAAGGCCCACAAGTTCCCTCCAGAACTCCAGTAGAATGGACCAGGGATCACCAACAGATCCTGGAGGAACTAATTGGTATGTTACCAAGCCCACCTATACTGGCATATCCGGACTTCAACTTACCCTTCACGCTCCACACTGATACATCCGAAAGGGGCCTAGGGGCCATCCTATACCAGCGACAAGACGGGAGGTTGAGAGTAATAGGATATGGATCCAGAACATTGACAACGATGGAGAGGAACTACAGATTACACAGTGGTAAACATGAGTTCCTGGCATTGAAGTGGGCGGTGTGCGAGAAGTTCCGGGACTACCTGTTCTACTCACCACACTTCACAGTGTACACCGACAACAACCCCCTGACATACGTGATGAGCACAGCAAAGCTTAACGCAGTGGGCCATCGATGGGTCAGGGAGCTATCTGACTTCCAGTTCGATGTCAAGTATCGGCCAGGAAAGGTCAACATCGACACAGACACCTTGTCTCGTCTTCCTCTGGACATTGATGTATACACTTCAGAGTGCACGGAAGGGCTACCCGCGGGGGCAATCCAAGCAGCATGGGAGGGCAGTCATGTGTCGAAGATGAAGGACGTGGCCTGGGTTGCTGCCCTGTATATGTCGACTGGGGAGGATGAACCACGTCAACCCACCACCTGGTTGCCGACAATAGGACAGGATGAACTGATTCCAGCCCAGAAAGAAGATTCTGTAATCTTTCAAGTGAGACAATGGAAGGAGGAGGGTGTCACCCTCACAGACGAGATGAGTGGAGTTTTGACAGGAACCAATAGAAAGCTGATGTATGAGTGGAATAAGTTACATCTTGAGGTAGGAGTCCTATATCGAAGAACGAGGGAGAGAAAACAGCTTGTCTTACCGAGCAAGTACAAAAAGCTGGCACTTGAGCACCTCCATGACAAGATGGGACACGTGGGTACGGAGCGAGTACTGAGCCTGGCGAGGGAACGGTTCTACTGGCCATACATGAAAGCTGAAGTTGAAGAATATGTGACCAGAAAGTGCCCATGTATAAAACAGAAGAAACCGACTGTACATGTACGAGCGCCCATGGGTAGCATCATAACACACTCACCTATGGAGCTGGTCTGCATTGACTACCTGCACCTGGAGGATATGAATATATCCTGGTCGTCATGGACCATTTCACAAGGTTCGCCCAAGCCTACCCAACCAAGAACAAGTCAGGGCGGACTGCAGCTGAGCGCTTGTTCCAAGATTACATTCCGCGCTTTGGGTATCCGGCCAAGTTACATCATGACCAGGGCCGCGAGTTTGACAATGAACTTTCTCACACTCTCCAACAGTTTGCTGGAATCGGCCACTCTCGAACGTCGCCATACCACCCCCAAGGAAACCCAGTCGAGAGGTTCAATCGGACCCTTCTACAGATGTTGAGGACACTGGCAGACAAAGAAAAAGAAAGGTGGAAAGAGCACTTACCTCAAATCGTGCATGCCTACAACTGTACACGGCACGAGTCCACTGGATATTCTCCCTTTTACCTGTTGTACGGACGGCATCCTCACCTTCCAGTATACCTGATCTTCGGCCTGGTGGAGCCATCGGACGGAGTCACTTCAAAGGGATATGCAAATCAGTGGGCGGCGCGGATGGCTGAGGCATACAAGATTGCTGAAGGAAACAGTCGTCAAGCAAGTGCGAGAGGGAAGGCTCAATATGACCGAAAGGTGAGAGGAGTGGTACTGAAAGTGGGAGACAGAGTGCTCGTTAGAAACCTTGGAGAACGAGGGGGTCCAGGGAAATTACGATCCTACTGGGAAAAGGTGGTTTACGTGGTGAAGGGGCAGGTATATGATAACCCAGTTTATGTAGTCTCCCCTGAAAATGGGGACAATAAGAAAACTAGGACACTGCACCGGAATCTACTAGTACTGGTGAATGACTTAACTATGGAGGCTCCCACGACGACATTCCGATCGACAAAACCAGAAAGACAAAAAAAGAAAAGAGGTCAGTCACCCAACAGAGAAGACATTAGAGACCGAGACAGTGACATGACAGACTCAGATGAGGAAAGTAGTGGGGGAGGATACTGGCTGAGAAATCCAGTTAGCTGGACGGAACCAATGAATAACCTGCTACCTGAGCGAGCACCTGTAAGAGAAGAGTTCAATCAAACACAAAGAAGGGGGGTATCAAGGATACTGGAAAATTCACCAGAAAGAGAACCAAATACCTACCTGGCACCACCCGTGAAGGATGATGTGGACGAGGAGAGGGAAACAGCTGCTTGTGTTGAGCCAGAGGGAGTAGAAAGGGAGGCTGAAACTCCAAGTTTGGGGGATGAAGCTGCAGGGAGAAGGTCTGCTAGAGAGAAAAGGCCACGACAGATTTACACTTATGACACTTTAGGTCAGCCTGTGCTACGGCCATACCCGACACTTAATGCAGAACAGCTTATCCGATCACACATGTACCTTTCTGGGGTATAAATAGTTACTTGCCACAAATTGGTTATCCCAATTCATACACTCCCCACACATACATACCTTACAATTTCAATGCGCCCATGTGTTGATTGCACATATTCGAGGTAAGAGGTTGACCACTGGAGCTTTTCTTATTTTGTCAGGGAGAGTGTGATACACACAAAGTATGTACACAATTGTGTTTTTTTCCTTTCTTTTGAATATGTATATTGTTATGAGTAAAATGATTGCATTACTGTCTTATGTTGTGTTTATATGCAAATTAAGAAATATATATTTACATTTATATGGACAGAAATAATGGACTCTTATTTTGACATTCTGGCTGGAAAGTCGCGAAACGAAACCGTGAACTGCGCATGCTCCCTCATATCTGCAGAGGAGCTGTGAAAGAGCAGACGCGACTCTCTCTTGTTCTTTTCATTGAATCCTGTTTTACAGATAACAGTAATCTGTCAGCTGGGTCTCCTGTGCCGGGACCTGCAACACATACATATGATAACATATGATAATCCTAATCCATATATTTTTCTCAAGTGTAGTGTGAAGTGTTCCTTTCAAATGATTTATAGTTATAAACCGCCTGCACACCGTCTTTGTCTTTGTCTACACTTTGTCTTCCCAGGTGTGAAACACATCAATATTCATGATGATTCAAGCCCTCCCCGCATACACAAAACATGTCTTACAAATTATAAATCAATATATTGTTTTATGCAAATGAGTGGGCAGGATGATTTTCACATAGTTAAATGATACAATTTTCAAAAGACTTATAATAATCAATATGTGTTTTATGGCCTTTTTTCAGTGACAATTTTTTTTTCACAAACCACGCATAAACGTAATTCTCTCAAAACTACAAACTTTTACATAGATGCTGCTCACAAATTATTGTAGCAGAGTTTGTGCTGAATACAGTGTAATCAATCTTTAGCCATGAAAATGTTACAAGTAACAGAAATAAGCACAAATTTCGAAGCATGTCAGAACACCTTCAGGGCCCAGAAAACACCTCAGACCACAGAGGGTCATTTTTACATGTTGGTCGAACCACATGTCTTTGGTTTGGTTGATAAATGTTTCTAAAAAAATGATTTCTCTAAAGCTTTAGCAACAGCAGTTTAGCAGCCGCAATACAATACAAACACAATACAAAATAGGACAATACAAACACTCGCAGCGACAGCTCATGTAAATATTTACAGCTGGCAGGACGATGTCTGATTTCTTATAGTTTATTGGTGGGCTGGTTTGTTCCTGAGATAAACCTATTACACAACAGACCATGACAGAAGTTTAAAGTCACAATACAGCTTGCCTTGCACAGGCTTATCCTCTATTGTCAGAATGGGCAATTCCTCATAACACAAATATCACGCTACAATAAGCATCCCACCGCATGGTCCTACAACTCTGGACTTTACTCTCTGCTGTAGTATAAACTTCAGGGACCATATAAAAAAAAGAATTTTGCATTCCTAAATGATTGAAAAACAAATGGAATGCAGGGAATGGGAGTGCATATATATATATATATATATATATATATATATATATATATATACACATACACACACACTGTATTGTATTGTATTATACACACACACACACACACACACACATATATATATATATATATATATAATACAATACAATAGTGCAAGTTTGCAACATTTACGTCAACAGACCTGTTACTGTATAAAGAGCTGTAATCAGCAGCAGAATAATCACGGCAAGGTAAATGTTCAGTCCCAGAGCCTGGTTGATGAAAATGCCCCCTGCAAACATGTCCCCCTGAGAAGGGGAAAAGGGAGAAAAATAGTTTGAACTTTCCATTTCAAAACAATGTCTCTATCTTTATAATCTAAACCCATTTTAGTCTGAATTCACATGGCAATAAAAGATATTTCTACAAAGAAAATCACCGCCATTTCAGACTATAAACTGTGTTAGTGAAGACTTTATGTAAAGATAACTAAATACAGAGGCTGGACAGACAGCACCATATTGTGAAAATGGTAGCAAGTTCCAACTCATCTTTCATTTAATCATTGTCAATATACACATAAGGGGAAAAAGCAAATGTAAGGTAAAACTTTAAATAAAAGCATAAGGGGAAGTGTATATTTTTGGTCTTTTAACTGATACACAAACTGGTTACAATTTATTTTACGCCTTCAGTAGTTTATTTCAAATGTTCTTGTACTTGATGTGTGCATGCAGTCTCTCATAATTGGTCAAAAAATCTGCATTCATAATAATTAACGAAATAACAAAATACTTTTAAAATAGTTTTCGATTGAGTGTAGCATGTTACACCACTGATAGTATGTTAAAGTTTTCTAAAAGTATTGCATGACAACTACCTCTCAAAGTACCATGTTATTACCATTTGATTCATGCACTTTTCTGTAAGGTCTGAGACAGATTTTGGACTCACAGAGATTTTGGTGAAAACATAGAGAATCAGGGACAGCACAGAGAGATAGATACGGATACGCTGCCCACCAAAGCGTTTCTTCAGGTACTCCGGCATGGTCACGACCTGCAGATAACGTCAATAAAGACCATAAAAATTATACCATAGAGATAAAGTACACATTCATGTTGTGTAAGTAAGCAATATTTGAAAGATTTGTTCTGTAATGCTGGTTGAAGAGGAAGAAATGTAAGCATACCCCAGCTTTTATGTAGATTGGCACGAAGAGCCATCCCAGAATAATCACAACAACAAGAGCCTGAGAAGGGAAAATTAAAAAGAGATTGTAATTACAGATATTTTATTTTATATTTTCTACACATAATCCCATCAGTGTTGTAATTGTTTACTAAAAATAAAAGGGTAACACTTTACAATAGGGTTTCATTTATTTCATTTTAGTAAATTAAATTTAAACTTCAACTTAAATAAAAAAAAATTATAGCTAAATAGGAATATAAAAAAAATGACTAAAGTAAATAACTAAATGACAAACTTAAAATTAAATTAAAATGAAACATGAAAATAAAAAAATAAGAGCTAATTTTAAATATTAATAAACACTATAACAATATATAAATATTAAAATAACATTGATGTTTAATTGGTTCCTTAATATATTATTAATATCTTATCCTTAACAACAATAATAATAATAATAATAATAATGCATAGTATACTTTTATCCTTCTAATAAATAATTAATAATAAAAATTGCAATAATATAGTTCAATATATATGCAAAATACTTATAAAACATTATTTTTTAATGATCCATATAGTCATAAATAGTAGGCTAAAACATATTTCATGACACACATCATAATTATTAAATATCATATAATTATTAAGCTTTTTTTAAACATACATTCCACTCAAAGCCTCCAATGGCAATACCAGCAGCCGCTCCACTTCCTGCTAGTCCCACAAAATGCCCACTTCCAATGTTACTTGCAAAGAGAGAGGCTCCAATCTGAAAAAAGTTTAAGATACTTTAGTTTTGCTTCATATTATATTTATTATTAAACAAACATTTGATATTCAGTGTGAGGGGTAAACCCAACAGAAAGTCAGATTGGTTACAAAAGTCAGCAAAGGATTGTGGGAACTGTATGTGAAGCGTCTTGCTTCAGAATATATTAACTCTGTCTACTGTTTGACTATATCTAGCAAATCCAATCACCACGATGATAAGCTATAAAAACGGCTTCTTGTGCACAACCTGAGGTGTAACTCAAACAATAAAGATTGGAACAATGAACTTTGTAATAACAAATAAAAAGCTTCAAACTTTCGTATAAAGTGATTGTGGCGAGCAGGACGAGGTCGAGGGCCATGAGAGAGCGACGCGAGGCCGGTGGCATGATTTATGATGAATGACACCTGTGAGATGCACCGGTCTCGTATCTCTCACGGAGGAGCGGAAGGATAAAGGAGGAGCGACGACTGTGAAGATCGAGAGAGGAACAGGCCTGAACTTATGTTGTGTTTTGTTTTATTATACGTGAAAGCAGTCGTCCGTGAGGGGCTGCTGTCTATTACTTTCGTTTTGTATTTGTTTTATTTTATATTATTAAACTTGTTGATTGTTCGCGGTTCCCACCTCCTTCTTCCCACAACAATGAACCTCGTTACAGTGATAACTTTATGTCATGGACCAAAGCATGATTGCTCCATAAATGCTGCATGAGAAAAGCTTATCAGCTGTAATAAATTGTGGGTTGCATCTGGCATCATGGCATTATGGCCCCACCAAAGATTTCATTCACCCTATCATTATATAAAGGTTCTGAAATAGAGGGGCAGTTAGCGTCATTATCATGCCATATCAGTAACAAAGTAAAACTAGAAGCTAAAGTTTGTGAACAAACTTTGATGTTGGCTTGATAAAGCCTGAACCTTGAACATGGTCTCGAACTCGGATCGCCTTGTGTACAGCTGCGGCAAATGTATTATTTTGGCAGCTTAGAGAGAGCCTGAATGGGCAGCCTGAGTCAAAAGAGCCAAAGCACATATCTGTAAATGTTTAATGTGGTAAATATAATGTTTCATAGTGAGGAGCGGCTCGATCGGTTCAGCTGTCTCTGCACGCGCTGTGAGTTAGGGTCACTCGCGCTGTGCATTTGAAAAAAAAAAAACTGGTGTTCTATATATATATTTTTGTGAATTTTAAATCGCAATTTTAACTAGAAAAATCCCAATTAGATTATCTCCCCCAAATTGTGCAGTTGCTCCTGATATCAGCATGTTCACAGCTGGGTTTTTTTTTGTTTTTTTTTTCAGGGACCATATGCCACTGATGAGTCCTGCTGACTTAAACATTTACATGAGTCTCTGTACATGAACATGGTAAAATGAAAAAGCAAACACCTTGGAAATGACAGGTATGTTGAACAGGAACTGTTTCAGGAATGGCACAAAGGTGTGTGACTGTTCGAGTCTCTCTGTTTAGATTAGTGTGCTCAATAATGTGCCTTTTTGTCCTTTGTTATGTATTATGTTGTGTTGTAAATAAATCTAAACAATCAAAAAGTCATTCTTTTAATCTCTCTGCATTCTTTGTTCTAGTTCCCTCACAATCCCACCTGATAGGGCCATTTTAAATCAATATATTGTTTTATGTGAATGAGTGGGCAGGATGATTTTCACACCGTTTGAAGCAAAAATTCTAGGCTACATGATACAATTTTCAAAAGTCTTGTGAACAAATAATCAGTATGGGTTTTATGGCCTTATTTCATTGACTAATAATGTTTTTTTTTTTTCACAAAGCATGCATAAACGTAATTTCTACCAGAAAGACCCGGGAGGCAAAATGACGTAACAAAGCATAATTCATTAACGGCCCAGCAAGCAAGTATTGTGATATAAAGTTCTTTGACGTAGGCCCCGTCCATAACTCGCAATCCGAGGGTAACGGATTCTGCATTTCCTGCCTGAAGGCGAAGGCAGGGGCACAGCCGACCCCCCGGGGGGTATGGGAAGGGACCATCCTGGTGGTGGTGGTGGGGAGGATGGAGGTGAATGTTGGCGTCAGCATCTGCGAACTCAGACCTGTGTAAGTACCGATCTTTTGTACTACGAGTATTAGAACACGATTGGTTAGATGAGAAAGTAATAAGTGACGTATAACAATTGAGTCTTCCTGGCAGAACATACGCTAAAGCTTCCATTTTCTCAAAACTACAAACTTTTACATACATGCTGCTCACATATTATTGTAGCAGAGTTTGTGCTGAATACGGTGTAATCAGACTTTAGCCATGAAAATGTTAATAGTAACAGAAATAATCACAAATGTCAGGGCATGTCAGAAAACCTCCAGGGCCCAGAAAACACCTCAGACCCCAGAGAGTTAAAAATGGCTTTCTGAAACACAGATTAGGTACAGATTACTAACACCTGGGGTCCATTCTTCATACCTCGCTTTATACATCTGATATGTAATACATCTTGTCATAATACATGCCAGATCTTCTAATCGATGGCTAATTTGGTTCTTCGGTAAATTCAAAGTCAACGTCAAAGTTTATTTATTAAGCACTTTTTAAAAACAGCAAGTGTTTATCAAAGTGATGTACACACATCACATATCAATGATACAAACAGTCAACAGCACAAAATAAAACAATAAGACACAATAAAAAAGCAACACTCACAAAGCGTCAAAACTGAAATTTTCTTGGCTTTTTTCATGATAACAGAGGTCTAGGGGCTATGTAAATACCATATAAGTTTCAAAACAGTAAATCCACAGACAAATGCACACAGCCTGCATAAAGTAGCTGTGCCTTTTCACGAGCCGTTGTGACTTCCGTAAAAATATGACCTCAGAACTACTCAGTCACCACCCCGAGCACTGCCCACCGTCCCTCCATCCTTTTTCCCAACAACAACAACAACATACTACATATCAACTAACTCTCATTAGAGTTTTAGTAGACTGTAGAAGACTGTCAGTAGACTGTTGGGTTAGTAGAATAAGTTGACATGTAGTTGCCAAGTTACTTATAGTCAGTATAATGTCTGTTGGCAGACCATCAAAATAAAGTGTTAGCATATATTAAGCAGACAGTCTACTAATACTCTAATGACTGCTAGTTGTCATGTAGTTGCAAAGTTACTTATAGTCAGACTCAGTAGAATGTCTAAAGTGGACTATCGAAATAAAGTGTTACCGGTGTAGCGACTCTGACAGGGTATCCGGACAGATGTATCTAAATTAGCGAATCCCGATTTGCAAACAAAGGTCAGTTCTTCGTGAGTAAACAAAGGGGCATTCTGTATACGACCCCCTTCGGGCATGTTGACCAGCAGGGGTGCCACTATGGCTGGAGTCTCCCTAGCACATGACACATTTGGAACAAGCCAGCGTTGTCTTCAACAAACGGTCAACCATTCAAACCTCGCCGTCTCACGGGACACGCATCCTGACCCCCCCCCCCCCCCCCCCCCCCACACAGGAAGAGTCCACAAGGAATGCCTTAATGCTGATGAACAATTACCCATTTCAACACACACACACACACACACACAAATCTTTCTCCAATATCCTCACTGAAAGACATTTAACCAGATGTATTCGATGTGTTTTTATGTGTGTCTGTTTGCCCATGTCACATGGGAATAACTATGACTTTATCGTAGCATAAAGTGAGTTATAAATACCTTCATTATGCATTTTGAATATAACTGTATATCCCTCTTACAATAACGTTCTTACTACCTGTAGAACACTTGTGGCGTGAACAACGCGAATATGCATACAAATATTGAGTAAAGTGTATTTTTGATCAGTTTTACTCTCATTCAAGATCGAAGTGTCTTTAGACTGTAAACCCTCCCCGCTCGCACACAGAGATGAGGAGCGTGCGCTCTCAGACAAAGAGTAATAAAAACTGAATTCCCGCCTGTGACTTCCAACTCTCCGATTGGCCAAGCCGACAGGGAGAGGCGGGATTTCTCCCAGGTGATATATGTCGGCGCGCTCACTCCAACTCGGTTGCTTCTGAAACTCTTCCTGCTCTCTTCGAAGCTTCATCATGTGACTCCTCGTGCATTTGGACCTCGCCTTAGTGTGATGATCCATCGTTTCTTTTCTTTTTTTGTTTCTTCAAGTTTATTTTATCCTTTTCGAGGTCTCCTCTGTTCATGTCTTCTCGCGAAGAAAATGAACACAGCCAGACTGGCAAGCTTCACCTACAAGGACATTCAAACACGCCGCGCTCGCGCGCGCTGGACGAACCCGAACTCGTGACACGAGGACAGAGAGAGACACACACGCCTTCTTCACATCAACCACAAAAGAGCTTTACCTGTGCAAGTAACCGTTTACCATTCTTTCGAGGTTTAAGATCTGTGATTCTTGTTGTCTCAAAAGGTTCTGTCTGTGATGAATTTTGCCAAACCAGAAGATCTCTCATCTTCTTACTCTCTCTCTCTCTCTCTCTCCCTCCCAATCTTTCTCTCTCGCAACCTCTCTCTCTCTCACTCCTGTTTGTTATTCGTCTGTCTCGTTAGTTTTACTGTTTAACTGTACATACATGTATCCTGTGTTCAAATGTAGAATTCTGTATCCGTAGTTTCAATTATTAAAACCATATTCTTGATTGATCCTGAAGTGCTCATTTACAAGTCAATGAAATGATGATCTCATAGCTACAAAGCTTTACAAGTTGTTACTATTTCAGTAACGTAAATTTTATAAACACGAGAAAATTAATGTTCACGGCCGGAACATTGAGATTTCTTGGAGTTTATAAAAAGGGATAACTTTGTTGAGAAGTTGGTAAGTTAATCTTACGGCTGTTTGCTGGACAAACCGATTGTTTGATAACTAAATTAATTCCCTTAAAGTTATCTCATATAATCGATCTGTAATGAGACCATTGATATATGAATGAGGAATTATAATTCGTTATGATTTACCATTCATACATACGATCGATCTGTTTTCAATTTCGATAATATAAC